TCGAGCACTGCTTTCTGTGCTGCATCTCACTTCAAAACTTCTACGCAGAAATTCCTCCAAACCCTCCGAAATCTCCCAGTTGCCGCTGATTACCTCCTTCGCAAAACACGAACATGAAATCCGCTCCGATCTGATCGGATCCCGTCCGTCTCGATCATTTCATCCAATCTAATGTTTCTCGCTTGCTGAAATCCGATCTCCTTGCTGTTCTCGCTTGTTGGTCCTAGTCGCACGAACCCAGCCTTGTTGGTCTTGGTTGCGCGAATCCGGCCCTGTTGTTTGAAAAAATTAACAGATTCAAAAAATCATGTCATGTTCCGTCGCGGTATCAAGCTCCCTGGTCTTCTCTCCTTCCTCGTCTTTCTTCTGTAACAAAACCTCAATACTTTCTCCATCAACGGAGGCTCTTAATTTGACTTTAACCCACCTCAAACCCACATATTCTCCTTCTTCTCCGTCTCTGTCATCTTCGCCTTCATCGCCGTTTCGTATAAGGATTCAAAAAACGTCATCTGGGTCACTTCTCTCATCCTCATCTCTGTCTTCTTTGGGTTCCAGTGCGGGTTTTGGTCCCGGGTTGGTTTTGAAGAGGAAGAGGCCGGCTAGACTGGATATACCGGTGGCAACTGTGATGGCCTTTGCGACTCCGTTGATGGAGAGCCAGGAGAGATGGAGAGTGAAGGTGATGAGTATTCTGTTTATTGTAAAAGAGGGAGGAGAGAAGCTATGAGGGTAATAATGTAATTTTATGTTTAAATTAAAACATAAATATTTATTTATGTAACATTTTTATTTATCTATATAACATAATTATAATATTTTTATTTATCTATATAACATAATTATAATATATATAATTGTCATGTCATCAAAAAAATTTTAAAAAAATGTCAAATGGAATTATTTAATTATCACATCATGTTTAACCGATGGAAAAATAAAAATTGTGTAATTTTTAGAATTAAAAGATCAAGAAAGTAAAAAAAATAATCTAAGGATCAAAAAATGCAAACTTATAAAGTTGAGGGATCAAATTTAGCATTTAACCATTTCTTTTTCTTTTTCCGACACGTGGAGGGTGACGTGGAGGGTATCATTAAGTCCACATCAGCTGTTCCCGTTAAGTTAACGTGCCATCTGAGCAAAAATTAACGGAGGGACCAAAAAAGGGCCAGATTTGTGAACAGTAAGGACAAAAAAAGGGGATTTTTTCGGTACAGGGACTAAAAATGGGTTTTTTTCTATAGTAGAGGGACCAAAAAGGGTATTTAACCAAAAAAAAATCTGCATGGAAATGTGTAGATTTGCAAATTTAT